TTGACCACTACCCTCTGGATGTGACCATCTAACCAATTCCTCACCCACCGGATGGTCCACCCATGAAATCCGTACCTCTCCAGTTTAGAGAGAAGGATGTTGTGGGGGACCATGTCAAAGGCCTTACGGAAGTCCAGATAGATGACATCCGTAGCTGATTTAATTTTGTTGATTCTTAGTGTGTTGTCTTGTTCCGCAAAGTTTCCTAAATTTTGCAATGAGTAAGGCTATGTGTTTGAAAAATAATAGTGAAAGTAAAACTACAAGCACCTTTAAAAAAAAGTCATCTCCTTCTGCTTTTACAGGTATTTTCAAATGGAGACTATCAGCTGGAGAAGGCAATGGAAGAGATATTGAGGGATTCTGAAAAAGACCAGAACAATTTCACTGCTCTCCGAGAAGGTTCCAGTGATGCAAGCAGCCAGGCAACTGGAGATGGGTCAGCAGGTCAAACAAATCAGCCATCTTTGCACCTTGTTTTAGACCCTTCTACAACAGGTATTGCTAAAGTGCTTCCCCCCTCAATCACATATGGCAGTTTTTTCTTTATGCAGTTTCAAGTTAACCTTAAAATGAATATAAAGCTTCCTGGAGCTTCATTCCAAAACTATACTGGAGAATACCCTGGGGCCTCCTCTCCTTTTCTAATTAGTTGAGAATTATAGACAGGAATAGTTTATCATCAGATTGATACCCTGTGCTGCTCTGTTTTGGTCAAGATAATTTTCATTTTGTCTCCAGCCCTAGATGAGTTAGGACTGAGTATTGTGCAACATGCATCATGCATCATCTGAAGCAGAGATGCTACTGATTGAGTATGAGAAGTTTCAGGGCAGTGTTCATTGACAGTACTACCTACGAATGAAATATACCCTGAGGAAACTGATGAACTTTTAAGCTCTGGTTCTATCACCAGGTATCAGTAAGGACAGCTTGAGATTTGATATTTGCTAGGAATGATTGTGATACTTTTCTGGTATTTAAAGTTTTGGTGAAAAAGGGAGGACTGAAAGCTTTTTATTTAAACTATATTGTATATATTTGATGTAAATATATTGTAGCTTTTTTTTTTTTTAACGTATATTAGGAATACAAGGCTGTGGCCATCTCTGTGGACCTTGAATTAGAATTGTTTTTCCCTCAGCAGCATGCAGAGCAGTTCTGTGGCATAGTATCAGATAATTTCCATAGCATCTGTTCGGGAAGTAAAAAAAAAAAAAAGAAAGTTTTTGTGGTAGAATAAGATAGACAGTTTACGCATAATGAAAACACCCTTCTCTTAATTACATGTATGCTCTATTTTTGAGAAACTTACTTTACTGGCTCCCTGTTTGACGTGCTTCAAACAGAACACAACCCTTAGCATGAATGAACAAAGAAATACTTGTAGACACATTCCCTCCCCCCAGGAATAATTCAATTTTGCAATCTTTACGATTTAAGTATTATGGAAATATTAGCTATAGTAATAAGAAATAGAAATAACAGGGCAGATTGCTTAGAGAGGTTTGGAATGTCCATCTTTGGAGATACCAAAACTGAGCTGGACAGGGCCCTGAGTAACCTGATCCAGTTTTGAAACTAGCCAAAACCTGGTCTGTCTTTGGGCAGGAGTTAAAGCTAGATGACCTCTAGATGTCTTTTCCAACCTAGATTACTCTGATTCCATACTTAACGAATTTTTCTTCCACCTCTCCTCTCATTTCTCATATGTCAAAATGCCTTAAAAAAACCCCCACCAGAAAACAACAATAACAGCAAAACTCCCAAAAGCTCCCTCAAGACCGCCCCTGTCCATAGTAGTGTGATAGTAGTGTGAAAAAGAATGCTTCTCTTCTGCCGAGTAGAGGAACAGACACATACTCCTTTTCTTTTCCCCAGCTCCCTGATGGTTTCATGCAGTTGATATAGCTATCCCAGGAACGTGAAACACATTTAATAATTCTACACAAGCTGCAAAGACATGGGAGAGAAGAGAATTAGAGGCATCTTTATGCAAAACGATGAGTAGGAATTAGAAGGAGGTATAAGCAAACCAAAGAACATCTGGGGAATGGAGCTTAAGAAAACATTGTGTTCTAGCACTGCTAAAAAGAATCAAAAGGCAATTTATCCCTATCCAATACTTGGAAACATGCGTTAGAATAGAATAGACTTAATATTAAGCTGCCGAATGGATTTCTTATTATTGGAGCTTGACTTTTGACCCCCATGTCTATTCTCAGAAAAAGTGGGAGATTTTGCTATTGAACTTGTTCAGAAAACAATGTGTAAAAAATAAAAACAAATGGTTAAAGAAAAGGTTTCTTCATTTTCAGAAATCTCTGCACCAAGGCCATCTTCTCCCAGTGAACCCCTGGAAGAGGACAGCGTATTGTTTAACAAACTGACTTATCTAGGTTGCACAAAGGTGTCTGCCCCTCGAAATGAACCAGAAGCTCTACATGCCATGGCAAACATGAAATCCTCAAGTCAAGCCCCTTTACCTGTAACGCTTTATGTTCCAAACATTCCAGAAGGCTCTGTAAGGTAACACACAAATGTTTCTTTTGTTACTTGCACAGACACATAAAAGGTGGATTCTGACTTTGTTACTCACACAAGGAAGTAGAATTGCTGGATTTGTGCGTAAAGTTCTTGCTGAAGACAGTTATTTTTGAGAAATTCCTCTGAAGCAACAAACGCATGCTCCAGTTTAACATGCAGTACATAGTTGGTGGTAGCGGTTGCCATACAGTGTCAAGAAAAGCATATCTCTCTACCTGCATCTCTGTTCAAATATGATAATAAGAGATGCCTCTTTGTCCAGGTAGTTCATTCATGTAAGCTGCCTGCAAATTTGTGGTACCTACATGTCTAGGTATAAGTCTCTTGGAACTTAAAGCAGGGAGAAATGTTACCATACTTTTTGTCTACATGTGCATGCCATAGCTTGTGGATAATGACACAGAGCATGGTAGTAATACTGCTTGTCAGTAATCAGATACAGTGAAATACTTTGCCTTTCAAAGGGAAATTGTTGACTTGTGGAAGTGCTGTGTCAGTGGTCACATTCACTTGTTTGTGGTTATTTGCTCAAAGCCCTTATACCATGAAGGATTATTTGACCCATTTCAAACCAGTGAATCCTGAAAATGAAGCGTGAGGCTGAAAGTCGTCTTTGGGGCATGGGATTACTCTGAGGGTCAGTGTCTCTGTATTGATTATCAGCAAGTGCCTGTTTGTTAGCTGTAGGGCCAAATATTCTCAAGCATCTTGTTCAGTGATTTCTGATATACTGGAAAGGGAGAGCAGGTAATGCCTGTTTTCTCCCAACCTCCCTAGTCTGTAATCACATCCAAGGTAAATATGTTGAGACAGTACTAGTCCTGCTGGCCTTGGGTTAGCTGAAATTTCAATTCTAGACTCTTCCATATTTCTTGAGGATTTGAGATGCTGGTTTCTATTTCCAGATATTGCTTTGCTAAAGCCAAGTCTCACCTGTGTCTGCCTCATGATGCATATGCTGATAGTCTCTAGATACTAGAAAACATTTACTTGTCCCATGTGAGAAGGGTCTTTTAATTAGTGATGACAGTCAAGGGTTCTTAATCAGGGTGCACTAAAGGCACACCTGGAGCAGTCTTCCATCCAGAAGTAGGGAGCATCGCAATATGCAAGATTTTTATTTTTTAACTCTGATACCAAGATATCTGAAGGATATGGTTAATTTCCTTCCTTTTCTGTGCTCTGCCTATGTATTGACTATCATCTTGTGCAGAAAGACAGAAGGACCTTCAAGCACATATATTATTTTCTTCCATTTTGCTCTTTGAACCCAATTTAAGATTTTGTTTGACTTTATGGCAATATTTAATTTGAATTAGGAAATTACACTGCATGCTTTTATGATGGCAACTGTCACATAGACACTAGATGTTAGGTGTGCTGTACCTATTTTTGTAGCCATTGTGGCCATTCAGGAAGGTTGTTTTGCAAGTGAAACTGCAGGTTCCTTTGATCTTTAATTGCAGAGGACATCATTAAGTGAAGGACTGCCTAAGAATCTGCACAGAACTGTAAAGGTGAATCCATGTGTGACATAATACACTCCATCAAAGTTCAAGTGACACCAGTGTCATCTTTGAGGAGTGTTTCCATTCCTGGTATCTGAACACTTGTCATGTGGGGTTCCATTTAATGTGTCCCACCAATATTACAGCATGCTGAATCCTCTCTGGGCTTTTCTTGCCTTTAGGAGATTAGTCCTTTATTTTTATTGTTGCAGACTTGGGATTCTTGTCCAGGTAACGAACGTTTATTCACCCTTGATGTGAATATGCATATGGACAAGGAGAGAAAAGACAGGGGAGAACTGTGTAGCTCTAACTATTATTCTTTAAAACTCACTGTTTAGTGGTCCATTCTGAGACCACCATCCCTGTTGTCTTCTTTAAAGTTTCCGAAATATTCGTTGGGTTCTGAGTTTGAGAGGAATGTAAAATTTTTTATGAGCCCTTAGGTCTGTGATTATTATTCACCCGAACATGGCAGCAAGCATTTGCTGCCTGTAGATTCTGAATAAATAATGTTTTCTTAATGTTTTCTTAAACAGAGATTTAAATTCTCTTATAATACTGAATTTTCTTTGATCTTTGTATGCAAATTGCATTTTCACGGTTCCTGTGGTTTCTATGTTTCTACTTGTGTTTTTCACAAATGATCGCAGAGCAATGATGGTCATTGTTATTGCATGACATAGATGTACTATATTTGTTTGTATTACAGAGTATAAAAAAAATTAAGCCAATGTTACAACCAGAAACATTTACATCTTAAATTTGGGAAGCCTGACATTTCTGTTCCTACTGTCCATCTTGTGTACTTGAATTTAGTAGTAATTACAGTTTAGATATTTATTTAAATGCAGAAGAGTCTTTTAGGTAGGCCTGTTTGTTTTACTGACCTTTTTCTTTGATCTTCTCTGTTCCTTTCCTTGACAGAATAATAGATCAATCAAGCAATGTGGAGATAGCCTCTTTTCCAATCTATAAGGTGTTGTTTTGTGTGCGGGGACAAAATGGGACTTCAGAGAGCGACTGTTTTGCATTTACTGAAAGCAGCTGTGGAACTGAAGAGTTCCAGATTCATGTTTTCTCCTGTGAGATTAAAGAGGCAGTAAGTATTAAATGTTGTACAGTGACTTGTAAGAAGGATACAAGTGGTATTTTAAGAAGTTATTCCAGATGTGGAAATGGTATATAGTGCCCTGAAAAATATGTTAACACATACATAATGAATTTCACAGAATGTGCAGCTAGTCATATGTGAATATTAATATAATTTAATTTTTTTCTTTTTCTTCTAGTATTTCAATAAAATTCCAAAGTGCACTGTAATGGGAAGATTTAGAAAGCCTAAGTTTAAGACAAATATTTTGTTTTTCAGGCCTCATTTGGGTAGGTTTCAGACTAAAGTTGCAGTGTAGACCTTGTGAGTTACAAAGAATCATTTTACAGTACTCTGCCCTAGATGTTTTAGGAAGAACTATGTGATAGTTTGGGAGAAAAGGATTTTCTAGAGTGGAAAAATAGAGGTTTAAAGAGAAGAAATCACCTTGGGTTTTTGACATCTGTAAGAGCAAGCTGTAAGTTTTGTTGTTAAATACACGACCTGAGAAGTACATTATTCAGGTCCTCTAATGAGTTGCATTCCTAATCTTGTAATACATATTAACTTACTGACCATTACATGAGCAGTGAATGTGACACAAATGGAAATAGATGTTGTTACTCAGTTTGCTTGGTTATTAAACACCTGATCTGAATGTTTTGTGTTATATGAGCCATGCTTTGTGTTCAGTGTAAGAGACAAGTGATAGTAATTTGATGACCTTCAAAACCACATCACAATACCCCATAATACCCCATTAAAAATACTCTTTTATTTTTGATAAAACTATCAATTCTTTTGCTTTTCTGCAGGTCAGCCGAATTTTATATAGTTTCTCAACAGCATTCAAACGTTCTTCCAAACAAGCATCTGATCATGTTAAGGACTTTGTTCTTCCTACTCCAGATAGCGATGTGTACACTTTCAGTGTTTCCTTAGAAGTCAAAGAAGATGATGGAAAAGGAAATTTTAGGTAATCTGAATAGAAAGGGAAAAGTAGAAATCTCTTTGAAAAAAGCATATAGCTACTTGCAGAATGCACAGCTACTCTGTTGCAGTAAAATTGATTTGGCCTCTTTTCATAAGTAGACTTGTTATAAAAAGGAAGCTGTTGCTTTGCTTTTACAATTTTCTTCTCTGTATCTTTTCTTTAAAAAGATTAAAAATCAGGATACCTTTTTCAAGTTAGTTTCTTTTAAATACACGATTTCTGGTAGGGATGCTCAAGGCAGGCCTGTGTCAGTGGAAGAGATAGTAGGACATCTGTTAAAAACTTTAGTCAAACCGATTTTCTTCAGTAAATACAGTCTAGTGGTATCTTTTTTGAGTGTTGGGTTGTTTTTGGTTTTTTTTGTTTTAAATAAGCTCATTAATTCCAAATTTATTTAAGATTTAGAAAATGTAAACTTCTCTAAGCATTACAGGGGACAGGGGAGCAAGGTATTCTTTGCCTAACAGCTAATTAGAAGGTTTTTTGGAATGGAAGAGGGAGTTGATAATAAGAGTTAATTCTGTGAAAATGTCTTATTTATTTTTTGCTTCATAGCCAGTATATAGCTATTTTCTATCATTTGAAAACCCAAAATACCCCATGCATTTTTGCATATCTTTGTCTGATAAATCTCCCAGACAGCATACTAAGTGTAAGTCTATAGTCTGTTTCTCTTCAGTGTCGGTTTATGAACTTCTGAATAAAGGAAGAGAAGGTCTCTCAAATGAGTTGAGCCATTAACAGTTTAAGTGGGCTGCTACTCTCTTTTCTGTATTTAGCTGTTAATCCTATGTAACTGTGCTAAAGAAACGTGTTTCTTTATTCTTTTAGCCCTGTGCCAAAGGATAGAGAAAAACTATATTTCAAGCTTAAACAGGGAATTGAGAAGAAAGTGGTGATTACAGTTCAGCAACTCTCGAACAAAGAACTGGCCATTGAAAGGTAAGATTCTTGTAAAAATAATGCAGGTTAAGTTTTTGAGAGAACAGTATTTAATGTACTTTTCCCTGGCTTTGTTAAGTTATGTGACAGAAAGAAATACAACAGTAACACAGAAAGTATTATTGCACAATATAATTAATTTATAGGTGCACAGTTCAGTTTTAAATTTCTTTTTTTTAGGTGAAAACAAGAAACATAGTCTGTAATACTCAAACATTCTTGGTTTTTTGCCATTTAATTGTCTTTTTGAATGTGGTGTTAGGATACTTACGACATTCAGATGCTTTTGATTTTGCTTTCTGTTGTTTTTAAGTAGTGCAAACACATGCATTTATTGTAATCCTGCATTACCAGCATCTCGCTGTTTAGTAAAAGTAGCCAAGTTAGGTTGTCTGAGCTATGTTAAACCTTGGAGAACATTAATCTGTTAGATCAATGTGTTGGAACACTACAAGTTTGGACTCAACCTGCTGGTTAGAAGAAACAATCTTTCGGTGGAGTCTTTAAGATGAGTAGGATTCCTTTGTAGTTTCGTTATAATATGATACTAATGTTTATCTTGAAGTGATGGTGAAGAGCTCAGGAATGGTTGATGACTCGTTTTGTATTTTCTGGAAATTGCATGAGAGGGATCCTTTTTGGACAGAATAATCTGACTTTTTGTGCAAAGCACTTGCACAAGAAGCGGACCATGCATGTGAAGAATAACAGTTAATGTGTTCATTAACAGTAGACTCTTGTTACTACAGTAGTAGTAGGTATAGTATTAATTTAAATTAGGAAATGCCTTCTCAATAGCTCAATTTTTAAAAATAGCAAACGCCACCAGATGGCAATCTTATCAAAAGAGTAACAACAGGAGAATTCAATTTTAGTGAAAAGGGAATTCAGGATAACAAGAGAATCAAGAAAAAAGCCCCACAACCCTCCCAAAACTTAAGATTGATTTCTTCACTTGCTTTCAAGCTCTTGTTTCAAAAATGAAACTAAAATTTTAGACAAGGAATATACAGCATAATTTAGTAAGTTTAATCATAGAATCGTTTAGGATGGAAAAGACCTTTGAGATGATCAAGTCCAACTGTTAACCTAGCACTGCCAAGTCCTAGGTTAGCATGCCACTAAACCATGTCCCTAAACACCACATCTACACGTCTTTTAAATACCTCCAGGGACAGTGACACAACCACTTCCCTGGGCAGCCTGTTCCAATGCTTGACAACCCG